GATATTTGAAAAGCTAGTAACCATAGTGTCTTTGACTATGTAGTACTTCAGAGAGCATGCAATATGATAAGCAAACAACATCTAAGAACGTTGCTGATATGGCCATATAATACAACGTGAAAACAATGAATAAAATAAATGGATTATTGAATAAATATAAAATGACACATTCCACCCATTTTGCTCAGTTTTCTAATCACACATTTGAGCATGTTAGACATATACATATTTTTTGAAAAATAGTTGTTTAATTAGTCTTGCTATTAGTCTATTGCTGGTTATGTTTTAGGGAAATGAGATTTTGCACAGCTAAAAGTATGAGAGCCTAATTAAAGGTGGTAAAACCGGCTATAGTTTGAAGATAAACTCTGGATTTTACATTTCTTTAACACTGAAGGGTTGACATTTTATGAAAGCAGAAAGTTGCTAAAAATAGTATTTGATATTGGCTCCTATACTGCCAGAGTCTCTACTTTTTTGGCAAGGTGACTATTTTCAATAGGTTCAGAAATGGCAGTTGTTAAATTATATTTTAATTTGTTGATCATTCATGTTGTGCTGCTTAACTTTCTATTTGCTGGACTGAAGAAAAAAACTTATTTCCTTTTTAAAGACAATTTTTTAAGAATGGCGCCTGGATTTGAAATATGTGATTCACTCAGCTATCAGTGAACCTTTGAAGAAACTGTAGGTGTTTATAGCTTTGTCCATCTAATAGTTACGCTATTCCAGAATTTCTGAAATGTGTCTACAATGGTTGCATGTGCTCACCAGAAGCTTTTCTTGCAGCCGCAGCCTCTTGGGCAGTGACTAGAACAATGGACCGTGCCCTGGGGCCCCCTGCAGAGGTTGAGCTCTCCCCCAATGTGGAGCCAGAAACATGGGTGGAGCAAACAGCTAGGGAGCACCCACCTTCCCAGAGGCAGTGAAGCCTTCAGGCTTCAGTGCTGGGGCTGTAGACAGCAGGATTTAATCAAGGGCTTTAGTCTCCAATTCTGGACCCCAGCCACTTGGCAGCCGTCCTTGGTCCACCTCAACCCCTGCGTGGCCTCAGGCCCCTGCTGTCTCCCTGCCTACCTCCCTATCCAGGGCTTAATTTGTACCAGATCTTGTGAGGGTTGAATAAGTCCGCTGTGAAAATTGATATTTGTTTGTTCGTTAATATTACTTCTCATTGCCTCCCAGCTATCTAGTAAGTCTGCTTTGAAAACTGATATTAACAACATACAACCATTAGTTTTTGTAGCAGCAGACTTACTAGCTAGCAAGTCGGGTTTTTTTTTAAAGAAAAAGCAGCCAAAACAAATGAAACAACAACAAAGACAAGAATGTGTAAAGTTTCTTATTTGCGTTTCTATTCTGTTATAGTCCAGTAAAGAATAAAAATAATTGTACATTATTTTTGAGTCTACCAAAAAGAAACCCTACATTAATAAATTACAGTGATTTGGATATGTATATATACACATTTCCCTCCCTAAAGCTAATTAAGTATTTTAGGAAAAATTATCAGAGAAACTACCAGCAAGAGTTTATAGCAATATGTCTATTTTTGTGTCTATTTGTCCTTATTCAGTTTAGTTTGTTCTATCTCTTTTGGGTGCTATAAAATGTGATTAATTTGAATATCAGTCTTTGGATGATAAGTACAAACTAATATTAGCATGGTGAGTCATGAAATTAAGGAATGTGGTTAAAAGTTCTACAGTAGAACCTGGCTAATTGAGATTCCCAAACAATGCTATTCTGGATTACTAGTTTTTGTAATGAGTCAAAAATGATTAAGGGGTGTTAAATGGAAAAAAAACAATTTTAGTATAGTTTATTATTTTTATGAATACAAATACTTTAGTTTAGTTATGGAATGAAATATCAAAAGCTAGTCAGTGTACTATAGGACTTTGTGTAAAACAAAATGGAATGAAAATGTAATTGTCTACAGTATCCTGGTTAAGTATTTACAGAGAAATGGGAGGAGGCCCTCCTGTGTATTTTGTGAAAAGTATCACGTTTGCAAGTTACTAAAGGAAGTATTATTGTTTTGCTATATTGCAAATAGTAAAACCGAAAACATTCCTTGAGGGCTGAATTACTCTGTTGTACTCTGTGCTTTGTCTTGTCTTTGGGAGAAAAGTTTGAATGATGCTTGTCTGGGAGGATTGAATGATTTTGCTGGAAAGCTGATAATTTTTATTTCTAAAATATGTTTTTTAATTTGCAAACTCTGTGAACACATATTTTAAATGGCTTTGAAGGTCTAATACTTTGACATTATTCAAAGAGTAAAAGAGGAGCTATCACAAAGTAAATATGACTACACTATGAAGAATTCCAGTGAATTTCAGTTCTCATGGTATAAATGTCTGTGAAGGATACAGTGCAGAGCAAGACTAAATTAGTTAAAATTAAAACCACATATGGTGGCAAATGAGTACAATAGAATATAAAACCTGGTGTAATTTACATTCCTAGAATATTTTATTGCAAATGCCACTATGGTTCATTGATAGTGTGGTTTTTTTTGTTTTGTTTTTTAACTCAAAAGCCAACATTTGAGTCACTGTAGAGTGTTAAGTAACAAACCAAACTACTTACATTTTTGTAAGGATGGATAATTTTCATGTTCCACAATCAATTTAACAAGATATGTTTTTTACAGTACAAATGCCATGTTCACAGTAATGTTTACAGCAGAATAGTTAACTAGACTATTCTGCATAATAAATGGTCATCTGTGGAATTTTTTAAAAAATTATGTTTTTTGTATCCAATTTCTCAGAATGCTGAGTGCCTTCAATATGAATCTAGACAAATCAGCAAAAGTGTGTGCATAAAATTATAAATTACTGATTGTATTTCTCATTTGCACTTTGACAAGATTTCCTTAATGTGAATATTAGATATGGATAAAAGTGAAACGTCATCCTTTGTAGATAAAGATTAGAACTGGATTTAATATATATCTTTATTAAATTATATACATCATAATATATCATAGTTTTTAATCTATTTTACTATGTACTAATGTATGTTTTTTACAACTTAGATTGCCCTCTTGGATTCGCCAACAGCTTTAAGTATGGAGGAAAAGCTTCAACAGAATGAAGCAAGAGTAAGTTATAATTGGATGATAATTTTAGAGATAAATGGTACCTGAATGCTGCTGCAGTAATAGCTCATGTTCAGGGACTTTTGGGCATACACAGTTATACGCACTGGTTTTAATATTGTGGTTTGTTTGTTTTTATTTATTTATTTTACAAAGCAGCATTTTCTTCTATTAAACTAGATAGAACATTAACCTCAGACTTATTTTTATTCTAACTTACCGTAATAAATAGAATTCGTAATATTATTTCTTGTTGCACTGTTTATACGAAATATAGTATAACACAGAAGAAAATATATTATAGATACTTTTGCTTGCTTTTTTGAATAAGTGTAGCTATCTCACATTGGAATAACGGAAATTTTTGTTCTTTGGGAAAAACTCCTTTTATAGTCTTAAAAATGTGAAAACTTTTTGAGAGACTATAATATGGAGAGAGAGTGAGTACAGTACACACATTAAAATGTTAATTAAATTCTGGTTTAATGTTGGACTAATTGGTGTTTCTAATTGATCATAAATTTGTCATACTATGTTCTAAAATTTTGGGGCAGATCTGGTATAAGGAAATGGTTCTGATCTGATATAAGCAAATGGTTGTTGAGATATCTCATTAGCTTTATTTATGTGTTAGAGTGGCAATTGAACATGAGTCTTGTCATAATGAATCTCTAGCTTTCATAGCTGAGAATTTGACAGTAAGTCCAGTTGATAACCCACAGCAGGGCAAGCAGGATGCACGCCTGGTGCCACACCACTCCCAGGCATCTCTCTGACCCCTAGACATAGGAGTGGCTATAAGGCTCTGTAAGCGCTCCTGCCATGAGCACTAGCTTAGCCGTTTCCATTGGCCAGGAACTATTAACCAATGATAACTGCAGGAATGGTACCTACAGGTAGGACCATCACACATAGCCACCAGTCTCTGCCTCCGCCTAGGAGCCAGAAGGAGATGTTAACAGCTTTCTGGTAACCATATGAGTTTAAACGCTGCCTGGAGTCCACACCCTGAACCCTCTCCTGTGCCCCATCCCCCTTCCCCAGTTGTGAGCTGCCTCCTGCACCCAAGTTCCCTTCTGGAGCCCACACTTCCCTGCCCCAGCCTGGAGTCCCCACCTGGAGCCCCTCCTGCACTTCAAATCTCTTAGCCTACACTGCTGTCTGGAGCTCTCAGCCCTTTCACGCCACAACCCCCTGCATCAGTCTAGTGAGAGTGAGTGAGTGAGGGTAAGGACGAGCAAGTGAAGAAAGGTGAGGGAAATGGAGTGAGTGGACAGGGCTATGGCCTTGCAGAAAGAGAAGGGCAGGAGCATGGCCTTGGGGCAGGGTTGAGGCAAAAGTGTTCAATTTTCTGCAAATATAAAGTTGGCAACCTTACTCAAAAGATCAAATACGTTGAGTCAGTTCGTCTGCTGGTGTAAACTGGTAAAATTCCACTGAAGCAGGCTGAATATATGGCTTATTTTAAGTACTCACTATTCTAAAAATCTGTGGAGTAGTACATTCATTTTAGGAAACAAATTTTTTACTTAACTAATTGATACTATATGTACGTACATAGGTATGATGTGGATCCTAGTACTAATTTTTAGGGCAAGTTGATGTTATCTGAGAAACTACTTACATTTTTGTTTAAATAACATGAAAGTACAGATCATCTAGGTTTCTTTTTTAAATTCTAGCTATTCTAAATTTGATACTAGCTATGACAAAGTAGTATATTCACTGAGGTAAAATAAAAGCAACAGAGGAGAATTAGGCCTCTTGTCAGCCACGTTTCTGCTTGGTGCTCATTTATAGCAGTCATCAAAAACTAGCTTTCAGTACTGTTGAGTACTTACGACAAGATGTAAATAATAGTAGCTTGGACGTTTAAGTTATAACGGTATGTCTACACTACAAAGCTAATTCGAACTAACAGCTGTTAGTTCGAATTAACTTTAATAGGGGCTACAAATACAAACCACTAGTTTGAATTTAAATCGAACTAGAGGAGTGCTTAATTGGAACTAGGTAAACCTCATTCTACGAGGAGTAACGCCTAGTTCAAATTAAGTAGTTCGAATTAAGGGCTGTGAGCCACTTAATTCAAACTAGTGGGAGGCTAGCCCTTCCCCAGTTGCCCTGGTGGCCACTCTGGGCCAAACCAGGGAAACTCTTCTGCCCCCCCTCCCTGCCCCGGAGCCCTTAAAGGGGCATGGTCTGGCTACAGTGCTTGTGCCAGTTGCAAGCCTGCCAGCACCCAGCCAGCAGACCCTGCACCTGGCACGGCATGAGCCAGTCACCCGCTGCCACCCAGCCCTCGGCCTCTTCCCAGGACCAGGCTGGTGGCTCACAGGAGCCTGCCCTGGGCTGCAGGAGGTGGGCGCCCGCCTGGTCTAGTGCAGAGATCGTGGACCACATCGAGGTTTGACGGGAGGCCTCCAACGTCCACAGTGTCGGCACTAGGCACAGGAAAGCAGCCGTCTAGGGCAGGATAGCTGCCAGCCTGACCACCAAAGGCCACATGCGATCCCAGGAGCAGGTCTGCATGAAAATCAAGTTGGTCCAGTGAGACCGCCGACCCTGAGCTTAGAACATAAGAATGGCTGTACTAGGTCAGACCAAGCTCCATCTAGCCCAGTAGCCTGTCTACCGACAGCAGCCAGCACCAGGTACCTCGGAGGGGATGGACCGAAGACCATGACCAAGAGATTTGTCTCATGCCATCCATCTCCAGCCTTCCAAAACAGAGGCCAGAGACACCATTCCTACCCCCTGGCTAATAGCACTCCATGGACCCAACCTCCATGAATTTATCTAACTTCTCTTTAAACTATGTTATAGTTCTGGCCTTCAGCCTCCCGTGGCAAGGAATTCCACAGGTTGACTATGCGCTGTGTGAAGAACTACTTTCTTTTATTAGTTTTAAGCCTGCTACCCATTAATTTCATTTGGTGTCCTCTAGTCCTTCTGTTATGGGAACTAATGAAGAACTTTTCTTTATTCACTCTCTCCACACCACTTATGATTTTATAGACCTCTATCATATCCCCCCTCAATCTCCTCTTTTCTAAGCTGAAAAGTCCCAGTCATTCATTTCATTTGGTGTCCTCTAGTCCTTCTATTATGGGAACTAATGAAGAACTTTTCTTTATTCAACCTCTCCACACCACTCATGATTTTATATACCTCTATCATATCCCCCTCACTCTCCTCTTTTCTAAGCTGAAAAGTCCCAGTTTCTTTAGCTTCTCTTCATATGGACCCTGTTCCAAACTCCTAATCATTGTAGTTTCCATTTTCTGAACCCTTTCCAAGGCCAAAATATCTTTTTTGAGGTGAGGAGACCACATCTGTACATAGTACTGAAGATATGGCATACCGTAGTTTTATACTTCCCCTCTTCCTTTTTCCCTTGGCTTCCCCCTTCCAGCTCCCTCCACCCAGATTTCCCCCTCCCCTCTTCCACCCTCTCTCTTCCTCTCTTCCACCTCCTTTTCCCAGTCTCCCCAGAGGTTAACCCCCCCCGCCCCAGTTTTGTTAAATAAAGAGAGTTTCTTTTTTTGAACACGTGTCCCTTATTTTTTACATGGGTGGGGGAGTTAGGGAGGGGTAAGTGGAAGGAGGTGAGGGAGGAATGGGGCACGAGCCCCCGGTGGGGAGGCCTGGGGTGGCTCTGCGGGCTCTTTGGGGTGGAAGCTCTCCTGCAGGGCCTCCTGGATCCTGACAGCCCCGCGATTGACCCCCTCCGGATGGCAGCCTGCGGCAAGTGCAGCCAGGCTGATGGCAGAGTGCTGTGATGTGTCGAGTGAGGGCACTCAGGGCACTCCAAGATAGGATTGCTTTGCTGTCCCTCATGGAGTTAGACAAGCAAGCAGGGAACCCTGAGACCTGTCTGTCCGGGATGGGGGTCAGGTCCCTTTAAGCACAGCCCTCGGCTAGCATGAGGTAGCAGCTCCACACTCTGAGTCCTAACCTGATGCCCTGCCGGCACTAGTTCCAGTCAGCCTTAACTTCGGTTCAAGGTCCACTCAATGTGGATGCGCTATTTCGAATTAGCAAAACGCTAATTCAAATTAGTTTTTAGGTCTAGATGCACTAATTCGAATTAGCTTATTTCAAATTAACTAATTCGAATTAGTGCTGTAGTGTAGACATACCCACAGTGCTTTTCCTCAAAATATTTTTTCAAGAATAGTAATTTAGATAAATTGTGAACTGAATTGCGTTGAACAAATTTACTGTTACCTGAGAATTGCTCTTATAAATGTTTAAATGGGTGGTAGAAACTACTGAATATATCGTATTAATTGGAACACGTTATTCATGCTCTGGTAGTATTCATTGCTTGTCCTGTTCAAGAGTGTTGTTCTCACTGTGTGGGATATTTTATTGAGTATATTTTATTGTGCTCTGTCAACCGTATTAATATGTTATGTGATGACTACTTAAGATAATTTCCATAATCATAATTATTGAATTATTGTATATTCCAGGTACATATTACAAAGGGTAAAACTGTTCTGTAACAGAATGGTTGCAACCGTGAACTTGATTCTGCAGATCTAAAGTTTTTATTACCATATTTAAATTAACTGATTACTTTACAGCAGTTCTCGTGAATGAATGAATTGCTGTGTTACAGGAACTATTTTAAACAACTCATGTGCAGTAACAGTTCTTCAGAAATGGTGAAGATAGAGGTGATGAGCATCCGAATTCCTTAATATTTTTTCTGTGAAAGACAAAAGAAAATAAATAAGAGTAATAAACTGGACTTAAATGGCACAGAGGAAAGAAGTATTCTCTTGGAGTTTAAATCCTAGGTTGCAAGTGATAATGAGCTACTTACTTCATTTTATTATTTCAATGCATTCCCTTGTGGGGGGTTGACTATACTATGGAACAGTCACACAGTCTATCTTTCTTTGTGGATGGACTACAAATTAAGTCAACTGTGAAAATGAAGGACACAGCTTCAAGTCAAAATTGAGGTCATTTGGGCAGCGCTATGAAGGGGAGCATTGCTATTTTCCCCTCCAAATATATGATCAATTTACATGTAAATCTTAAACTAGACAAAAAAGCAGTTAGTCTTGAGTTTAAGCTTGTCACCACTTGAAAGTAGATCCGGGTAATAAAAGATGTATAAATGGAATTCCAGGGTTAAAAAAAATCAAGAAAAGTAATGATCAAATACTAGAAGATTTACCTGGCATTGCTCAGGTCATTTAACTCAAATTAATTTGTTTTTCTTCATTTGAATCATTGCTCTGGGGTGGGACTGGGGATGAGGGCTGCAGTATGCAGGCTGCCCTGGGGAGAGAGGACTACCACAGCGGCTTGGGGTCAGGTGAGAAGCGCCTCTTGAAGGCCACTGCAGCTCCATTGGGCACAGATGCAAGGAGAGATGCACATCCCACGGCTGGGGAAGGTTCAGGTTTGTCTGCCCCCTGCACTTCTTAGCCAGAGTGAGGAATGCAGCAAACAGAGCACTTTCCATTTGATTCCTGTTGAAAGGGAACAGCCAGCAATGTTCCCATACAAATTGGGGCGGAGGGAGATTTGACCTTCCCCTCCCTAAAGAGCACCTGGAAGGTGGAAGGCTTGGTGCCCCCAGCCAGCCCTTTTTATCTGCCTGGTGATTCTCTCTGGTTTCTGTATGGTTTTATGAGAAGCCATCCCATTCTGGACACATCACGTTCTGGATGGGGAGCTCAGAGCAGAGGGTTGGGAAGTAGGGGGCAGGGTATCCCTGAGAGCTAACTGGGCAGTGCAGTTGCAGCTGGTTCTCAAGGTGGCTGCTGTGTTGCCTGGTCCCCTGATCCTTGGGGGAGCTGTGGGAGTGAGGGCTATGCTGAAAGCTGGGGCGGGGGAATAGTGGTCTCTGGTTTTGGGGTAAGGAGACCACTTACCTGTTGCTGGCAATATGCAGAGCCCCACCCCCAGCTGACCAGTGTTTTAGAGGTGCAGCTGCCCCCATGTGGTCATTCTGCAGTATAAATGTTCCCCATGCTTGCTGTCCCCCGTGGTCATTGCAGAGCATAACTTCCTTTTCTGTCAGGCCCCACCCTTTCTGTTTAATGAGAAATAATCAGATTATAGACACATCCCATTGTCCTGACACAACCAAACCCTTGCCTTTCTTTATGATAAGAAGAAACTGCATTCCAAATTTAGTGGTTGTAGCTCTTACCATTTAGGAGGAGTTTCTGAACAAACAGACTCATGGACGGACAGTCAGGCCACAAAGTTTCTAATACATATCATAAGATAAGCGTTGTAAACTTTTTGGGGCAACATATGGTTTGAATCATGAAAACTCTTACCTTACCAGGTATAATCACAGTTACAGTTCATCCTAAAAGTATACAATTCATGGTAAAATTTAGCTATAATGTTTAGTTTGATCTGTGAGATTTCAGAGATTTGACTCTGCGCTGGATGTAATAAATCCTTATTTGAGTGACCATCCCGGTGTGCTTTTGTTCTTATGAAACATTATGAAGAAGAATTTTCAATACGTCGTTTATACTCTTAAATATCTTTTCCGTTCTAAAAAGATAAAAATCAGAGGTCTGATGACCCATCATTTTTGTCGTCTTACTGTTTAGTGGGAAATTAATTAATACTTACGCAAATGCATAAGTAAGGCTTTGGAGAGGAATGTTTAACTGGCTGCTGTAACAGATTTTGGTGAAACTGAATTACTATCCCAATATTAGAAGTGGATCAGTTGGAGGGAGCAGCAAAGTTGGCAAATACTTAGCATTTTAACTTGTTCTATGAAATTCTGCGCTAAGCCATTTGTGAGAGAAAGTGTGCTATTTCAAATGACTAGCTTAAAACAGATATTGTCTCTTTGTTTTACTTGATAGGTGCAAGAGCTGACCAAAGAGTGGACAAACAAGTGGAATGAAACCCAAAATATTCTAAAAGTAAGGATGATTTTAAATGCACAATTTTCTCATTTGACTATTTAAGTAAACTTGCAGAAATGCAATTTTTTAAAAAAAGATAAGGTTCTTAAATGATATGTTAACAAAAATAGTATGCATAGAATTCTCACTTTGATTTGCCTATTTTGAAAATAAGTTTTTGACTAAAAGTCCATGACACATTTTATTTCCAAATAAAATTGAATAGGTTTACAGCACAACCTGTTAGATTTTCTTACCAATGCTGGATCACTTCCATTTTAGACTCTGCCAAATAAATACTTATGTACTTGTTCTGTTTTTTAATTCTCCTCCTTATGTCTGCTACTGACAGCTTGTGTAAAGACTGACCATCTCTATATTTGTATGAAAATGTTAGGGGGGAAATGGCACAATTATTTCATAGCACATCCACGCTAAGAAAAGGCACATCTGTTCCCTTCACTCTTATTCTAAAATATCGTATGAAATTGGAAGAATCTTTCAGATGGACTTATGCTCAGCAATCCCTTAGGTGCTTTTGGAAACACCATCCAGAATAGTTGTTCTGTGTGAAATTTTGCTACAAATTCTGTTTATAACCACTGTTGCCAAGCCTTCATCTAAATCTTTCCTCATTCTGCCTACAAAGATTTTTCTGATGCTGTTAGACTATTAATAGGCGATACTGAGTTAAAAATATCAACTAACTCATTTTCTGATTTTATCAGTCCAAAGTGTAACTATCACTCTCCACTTGATCTCTCTCACAATCAAGTATAGAATTTCTTGCCACATGCCTTTAGTTGAGCGATGAAATTAAATCTTAAAATTCCAGTGTAGTACTTGTTTAGTCCTATCTTTGTAAATATGCTGAAGGTGCAGTTGCTGGTGAGTTCTGAAAATAATACAAGCAAACAATTGAAGAGGAGATACCGGATTTATATCGTATGACTTTGATTTGAGACTTTTTTTCTTTATTTTGATTTGCATAACTTTTGATTCCTTAAGTATTTCATAATTCTCCCCTAGGTCTTTTACTCGTTATCTGACTTACAAGTAACTTACTGTATCTGTTTCAAAATAAAATACAAGTAATTTGGAGTATAGCACAGAACTTGAAACTGCTTGCCAGATGGCATTCCCTCCCGGAAGCTCTCAGCCCACATATTTTTCTTATTTTAATTCTGGGTTCTCCCTCTAAGCAAGCCATCTCTGGATTCTGGACTCTTATTGTACAACTGCCAGAGGCATCCCCACCCTTATTATTATACCAAACTAGGCACACCTGCATTAGAGCAGGAGAGCTGAGCCAAATTTCGTTTAAGGGGCCGTTACTCTGTTATGACATATAAAACGTACATGTTCTGAGACACACTATGTTGAAGGACTTGTCTATGTGAATAATTAACCTGTGGCAAACTGGAGTATTAATCTAAGCCTCGCTAGCCTGTCTCGTGTTAACTGTTCCTTAGTGTGTTTTGATCTAGTCCCATTTCAAAATGAGGTAGATTAAAGCAAGCTACGGAACATAACAGTGGTCACATGAACAATTTGTGTGTAGCAGACTAGTGCAAAGTAGATTCACATTCCAACTTGTTGTGGACTCTTTATGTAGATAAGCCTGCTGAAGTTTTAGTCAGCTGGGCATTTTCCATTAGGGCCTTTGGAACTTGTTTGGTCTCCAGGTTTGGAAGAGCCCATATTCTTTCAACTTTTCTCCCTTGCTGGGTACAGGTGAGGTTTGACTCTTCCATGGATTCAGTGGAGAAGTTAGTTCATTTGTTATGCTCATATTATTGTTTGGGTTATTTGCTTTAGTCTGTGGTGACTAGCATGTTTGTGTATTTTTGAGTGAATATTCAAGAGCTCAGAACTGGATACAACTTTTATTGTAGTTCTGTAAACTCTTGAAGAAATAAAATGTTAAAATATTTCAGAACTGCCTCTAAAGTATAAAAATGCCATATTGAAAATGTCTCAAATCCATTATCAAATGTTTCAATAATTTTTTGTTGTTTATCATTTTACATATGTAATATTAAATATGGAAAGGGAAGCAAAATGGCAATAAAAAGGTCACCATTGGGAAGCTAAACATTCAGAAGTTAGGATCCTCCAAAACCAGAGAGGTTTTCCCACAGCCTGACTGTTATTACTGTCATGTATCAATTTACACTTTATAAGAAAAATTGGATTGAAAATGTCACTGCTCTGAAACTTTCCCTTTTTACAGTTTCATGACTTTTTTTGTGTAAGAACTGGAGTTACGTCCCACCTTTTAAATGTTGATCTTAACCTGTCCTTAGGTGCCGCCACTTTTTTTTTTAATGCTATCTAAAATAGCTTTAAATTGTAAATTGACATAAATTGCACTGCTTTAGTTACTTACGACTAAATTAGGTTGACTTGCAGTGGTGTCTACACTATACTCTGACAGGAAATACTCTTCTGCCAACTTACCTTATGCTCCTTAGAGAACTGGAATAGAGAAGTCACCTTGAAAGCACTCTGCCATTGACTTAGCAGGCCTTCACTAGACTCACTAAATTAACACTGCTGCATCAATCGCAGCAGTGCCAGTCTAGTTGTAAGTATAGACATGGCCAAAGTCAAGGCTGGTTTTAGCATCCAGTATCCAAGCTGTTGTCTGTGTCTGGAAGAGTTGGGTGGTAGAGAGTTGAGTAACCTTGTTTATACTTAGGACTTTTTGAAATTCACCCACTGCTTCAAGCACCAGGGAAATTGACTGGTAGACCTGGATTTCCAGTTCTCCCAACTTTATCACATCTTACAATATGTGATGTTTTTTCTTTAACCCAGTTTACCAGAAAGTGGAGTGATGAAATGGAAACTTTGGCGTTTTGGTGTTTTCACCAATAAGTTCCTAGCTCATGGATTTGGGGAGAAAAGCTTCAAAAAATGAACCCAAAATGTACTGGCTTAGTCATAAGATTTTAAAAATAATCTCATGATTTTTAGATGCTTTACTCAAGACTATTGGAAACTGCATTTAGCAGTATTACAAAACAATGATGGTGGAATTTAGAAGAATCTTCATGTACACACAGACTAAGGCTACGTCTACACTACGAGTTTTGCCGCAAGAGCCTATGCAAATGAAGCACGGATTAGCATTTTCTCGTGCTTCATTTTTATACTCTTTTGTTCGGTTTTTGCGCTAGGGATTTTTGCGCAAAAAACAAGCAGCGTGGACGTTTCCTTTTTGTGCAAAAACCCCTTTTTCCGCAATACCAATCCAGTTTTTGGGTGCCTGAGAATGCTTTGTCCTCTTTCTCCCACCCAAGCTAACTCAGCAGAATGTCCTGGTACTTCTTGTTACCTGCCCCATAGTAGCTGAAACTGACTGATATGTAGTATTAAATTGCTTTTTGCCCTTACATACTCCACGCATTGTTCCAAAGCTGCTGAGCTATCAAATTCCTGTAACTAAATACCTCTTGTTAAATACTTCTAACATAGGTCCACCACTTGCAGGTACTGTATACATCTAATATCCAAACACTTCATACTATTTACTATGCTCAGTTACACACTTTCTAATATTTAACTTCTTAAAAGGATTTTTCAGCTTTTAGCAAAGAGTATATAGCTTATTAAGGTTTATCCACACATCTGACTTGAAATGTCCACGTTTGGTTGTTTTTTAAATAATTTTCACAATATGCTGGGGGAAATCATTTAATGTTTAACTCTGTCTACATTGACTGGTGAGATTTTACTCAAACGTTCTAAAATGGAGACCAAGTATGGAAAATTTCAGTCCAAGCGGTGAATGCTTCAAAAAGGTGAAAATGTTTAGCTGCACCACAGCAGTTGCAACAGCGTTAATGCTGTGTGTGTAACTTAAAACTTGAGCATCACAATGTTCTGCCTGCATATTTCATGCAGCTATATAACAAACTCACTGCTTGTCACTTTTTGCCCTGTATTTTTGTAGGATTCATATGTTTAATATGTATCACTAATGATTTCTTACATCAAACTATGACAGTGTGAATATTCAAATTGAACATAATGAGCTATTTTGTCTGCTATTGCTGCAGCTTTTATAGAATTCTTTTGGATTTGATTCTACTCCCACCTGGTTTGGCATTATAAGCAAACTTCAGCGTGTTGGGCCCAGTCCTGCCCTGACTACCTTTTGTCGACAGGTGCCAGATCAGATGTATCTTGGGATGGGAAACATAAAGAGCGGGAGCAGTTAGACTGTAGTATGATACTCAGAATCAAGGGAAGAAAGTCCCTTTGCTGGTAGATTGCTAGGGATGGGGCACTAGTAATCAAGAAAAGCTGTGACTGTGAATTGTGGGATGCATTGTAGTTGCTATAAGGTTTGCACCTGCTGGATGTCTGACATAGTATCTGACATGACTGGCCAGTAGCATTGGTGAGGCATGTGAAAATCCTGTTGGGGCAGAGAAGGATTTATGAACAGGTTCATGCGAGAACATCATGGGAACATAGCTCTTAAGAGGGGCCATGCTACAATGTGGAGGGGTTGCCACCATAGCTGGGCTGGGCTTCTGTAGATGTCTGAAGATTCACGTGGATCTGAGCTTGTCTGGTGATTTAGAGAACCAAGTTCTCTATTAATTATTTGTGATGGAAAGATTAGGAAGAAACTCTATAAATTGACTTTTAGATATTTTGCCCATCTCCTTAGAAGCATCCGTTGTCTTTCTAGCATGCTAGCTTCTTGGCATCATTAATTGTGTCTAGAATGAAAAGCACTGATTTGATGCTCATCCTTGTGGCTTTTCCATTCATTGGTGTCCTTGTATTTGAAAACAGTGCACAGTAATTAGTAGTACAATCTGACGTAACCTAGCTATAAGAATCTGCCCTTGGTCACTTTATCTAATTCAAGGAGAATACTTTTCATGCCATATTTAATAACCTTATGTACATTTTGTAAATTGCTGCTTTGAAAAGTAGATTATGTTGACTGCTTAAATCTGATCTGCTTTGTGTTTTATCTTCACAATACTGATGACATT